AGTGCCAGGGAACAGTGTTTGGCTCATCTGCTCAGAAAGCTTCTATCACAACTTTGGCCTGCTGATGCTGGTGCCCAGAAGCATTCCCACAACCAAGGGTTAAAACCTAGAAGTCTCGCTGCATCCAGGGCCTCATAAAAGCCTTTTCTACACTGCCCCTGGGCTGCCTTGGGCTCCCTGACTGAAATCTGATAAGGGGCCTCTTTGTTAGGACTGTCAGTCTCCTTTATTGAGGAGGGAACTGGAGAGCAGCAACATTTCTTGGGGTCAGGATACTGATAAGGCCCTGGATTCCTGTCAGAGGGAGCATGATTAATTACTCTCAATCCTGCCTCCTGCTTTGATAGTAATGACTGACAGTTCACAGGCTTCCCCATCAGGTGCTCATACACCCTCTGAGAGGCTACTTGGGGCTGACTGAGCCTCCAGCAAGGCCAATGCTAGTGACCTGCAAGGAGCTCTCTGCAGTGGCTGTTTGCTTCTTTCCTGGCTCTAGGCAGGTTGCTCTTACGTGAAGAGCCTTCTTACTTATACTCCAATGTAATCCAGCCCAGAGAGCAGTCCTGAGACCACCCCTTCCCCTAAGGCTGAGGAAAGAACCATTGCTTATGGCCTTGAACTTCACAGATGGTCCTAAGCCACCCAAAGCCCTGAACAGAAGGTCCCAAACCCTCCATCTCTAGGTGACTTGGTAACATTATTTCACTTCAGGCAAACTCCTAAAATCAGGTCACCCTCCCTTTGGTAATAACCACAACTACCACTTTTAAGTTTTTATTCATAGTCCCATAGGACTTTAGAACTGAAAGTCATCTAATCCAAAATACTCATTTCACAGATGGAGAAACTGAGGCATGAATATGTCACTCTCCCACCCCCACCCCAGAATGATGTATCGTTCTCTTTTTTATTCAGGCAGGGTAAACTCAGCTGAAAGGACTCTCCCCCTCTCTTGTCATAGTTGAGTCTCCTTGGGACAAAGGAGATGGCTACCAGGTCCATTAGGCACAGAGCAGACTGCAGAGACAGACTAGCCTGAGGATCTTGCCTCTCTGTTAGTTGTTAGGAGAATGAAGCCAGGGCAGGATTTGTGTCTGGATTATCTGGATAACGTGGGAAAACCAGACTGTTGTCTAGAGCTAGTGTTTGGAATAGACTCAGCTTTGTTTTCTCACAGTTCCACGGTATCTACCTGCACTGGGAGCTACTCTTAGCTGTTTTGCAGAGGGTCAGCCGCAACAAAGAATGCTCTCCTTCCCTTCATGCACTAATCTCTGGAGCCACACGGGCCCATGTGAGGGAACACAAGATCCCCATATGCCCATAGTAGGGCTGGGCCAGAGCAGGACTGCGGGGACCACCACCAAGGTTCCAGTACACCCTGAGCCTGTGGTTTCTTTATGGAGATGCTGGGAAGAGGTCACTTTTGGTTAGGTTTACAGCCTTGACTTCAAATGCCACTTTGCCCCTTCCTTGCCCTCTCAAGTCCTTTGCCCCCAAACAGTTCTCAGCCTAATGTAGTCACACTCCTTGTGACTGTAAAAAGGTGAATTTTTAGTGAAATTTCTACATCTATAACATTGTTGTCTTTGAAAGAAGCCATCCATCTCAGATGGCTAGACCTTTAGTGCAGTGACTGTTCAGAGTGAATTTACAATTCCTCTCTGGGGAGCTGGCTTTCAGAAGCAGTTTGAACCACACTAGAAAATCTCTTGCCTGGCCAGTGTGGCTCAGCAGTTGAACATCGACCCATGAACCAGGAGGTTATGGTTCAATTCCCGGTCAGGGCACATGCCCAGGTTACGGGCTTGATCCCCAGCAGGGGGTGTGCAGGAGGCAGCCGATCAATGACTCTCTCTCATCATTGATGTTTCTATCTCTCTCTCCTTCTCCTTTCCTCTCTCTGAAATCTATAAAAAATATTAAAGAAGGGGGAAAAAGAAAGTCTCCTGGTTTGTGGCCAAACAAAATCAGTATAAACAGTCACTTCATCCTATTTTACTGGCCTGCCTCCATGTATGGCCACTTCTAAAAGTAAAATACACCCTTTGCGTTTGACTAAACACCACTAGAGAGACTCATGAAAATAGTGCAAACTCTAAAAGCTATTCACAGATGGAGCTCCAAAACTCCATGTTAGCTGACTTTCCAAGGTGACTGTTCTGAAGGACAGCACTCTGTCAGCTGGACAAGCCCTGCTTGGTGGCAATGCCTATTCTACATACATCACAGACCCAGTCAACTTCGCCTCTTTAACAGCCGTTTCCCCTTCTCTTTGTCCCCACTGAGTGAAATTATGTTTTCTTTACCTTCTCAAAATCTCCAATTCTTTGGCCATTTCTTCTGCTGCTCATCATCTTGTTATGGAATTTGGATGCAAAGAACTTGACCACTCTAGGCCTCAGTTCCCTAGTCTGTTTAATAATGAACCTGTTAGGGCCTGAGTGGGGAAGGTGACTTCCTTCAGCATTAAACACTTAAAGCTAGTGGAGATTCCCAGTTGGGTTACCATGGATATGGTTTCTTTGACTCTGAGAAGCTTTTTTTTCCCCATCTGCATGGTAGTTTAGTTTATTAAACATTATAGTATTCAAGCCATGGTGAAGAAAAAACAAAACAATCTCTGCCTTCAGTCCTCCTGGGATACCAGATGAACATATACAAAACAATGAGAAAGTAATTATTTACTGAACTTGGAGGGTTTATAATAGAAATTCTGAAAGAGAAGACAGCCACATGAACTGAGATAGTTAAAAAATTATTCCTGGAGGCAGTGAACATTGAAGGCCAGTGTGGGGAGGGTTTGAGCAGAGGCAGGTCGCTTTAGTCTTGATGAGGAGGGAGAGCACAAAACAAAAGCTAGAGGAGAAATGAACTAGGTTTTGAAGGTGATAGTGAGGAGACCCAACTAATTGGAGAGTGAGTGGTTGATACGTGCTGGAAATAGTTCCTACTTGATCTTCTACAGGGTGTTGGGAAACTTGGTCGTGAGATTGAACAGGTGGGGTGGGGTAGGTAGGCAATAAGAGTCTTTGTAAGTTTTTAAACAAGGAGGTAATGTGGTGAAAGTGTTTTGCAAGTTGAGTGCATGGATAAGAGGCTGCTGCAGGAATCTAATTGTGAGCCAGTGAGGGCCTGGTCCAGCGTGGTGGCTGCAGGCTGGAAAGGGAGACACTTTTGCGAGGTACCTCAAAGGAAGAATCAGTTTAGCTTCCTAACAACTTAAAGTTTGGTGATAGAGGAGAGAAGAAGAGTCAGTGCTGCCTCTGAGCTTCCTGCCTAAAACCTCAGAGAATGGTGTGGTGTTGGAAGAAGGAAGCAATGGGAAAAGGGAGCTAGCTTAGGGGGTAAGTAAAGGTGAGCTCGGTATGAACTCTCTGACTTGGAGTGAGCAGGTCACACATGTGAAGATGTTTTGGAAGCTTCTGGAAATGTGAGCTTAGGGAGCCTATGTGAAGGTGTGAAGGGACCTTGGGAGTGGTCTTCCTAGAGTCTTGAGGCAGTGCTATGGAGGTTGTGAACTTGCCAAGGCCTTTAGTGTGCTCAGGCACACAGGCCTCCAAAAGGAAATGGACCTTAGTCGTGTCCTGCCAGGAGGCTGGTTCTGCTGCATCTGGCTCTTGTGTTATGACAGGAGTAAAGTTGACTGTCCAGAATGCCACAGAGAGAATAAGTTAACCAACATACAAGCTGTGTCTTAGGAGTATACCAGCAGTCCTTGAGAGTTTACCTATGAGCCTTTGAGTCTAACTCTATGACCTCTTTGTCCTTGATCCTCCAAAGGCCAATTGGTCAAGACAAAGGCCCAAGAGGCCTGGTCTTGCCATAGCAGTCCCACTTGTTCATGCTTACGCTGCTTCCTCTTCATAAATGTGGGAGCCTTCTCTCTATTCTCTGGCTTGAATTATCCTATAAAAGAGCTGATGAGGCCAACATTCCAGGGCTGAGAAGAGGTTGCCATTCCTTGAGGGAAAAGAAGCAGGACAAGCCAAAACAAATAGCCCTTCTCTAGTCAGGCTGGCCTAATATCTACTAAGCAGTCAGTGAGATGGGGACAGTAGGCCAGTGGAGGAGCAGCCTGTGTACAGTATAAGGAGTTTGCCATTAAAAGGCAACAAGTCTCAAGCCCTGCCCTGGACCGTGACCCTTCTCTTTGGAATTCTCCCCTCTGACCTCCAGATCATTAATCGGAAGACTGCCAAATGACAGTCATCCATCACACCTCCTGACTAGTGCCTGTGTAAGGCACTTGGCCCCACCCTCCCTGCATCCCCTGGTGCTCATTAGTGGGCCTTGCTGCTCGGTGCCAGGTTTCCTTGTCACGGCTCTGGCTCCTCTCACTTCCCTTCAGGGCCAGGGTGCGGAAGCTGCCCTGACCCTCCCCTCCCTTTCAAAGGCCAGGATGGGGTGGAGTGATTAGTGAGGAGAGAATTGTTGAGTGGCTTTTTACTCCCCTGGAAACCTGTATTTCCTGCAGCTCCTTTGGTAAGGTGGAGACACAGGAGAGAAAAACCCATTCTCTCTGGTGCAGCAGGAGAGGAGGAAGCAGGCAGTTATTCAGGTGGATAAGCCAGGCAGGAGATCCCATCAGGGGAGTCAGGGAAGCTTCCCTTGAGAAGGGGTCTGACTGGTGCATGAAGGATGCAGATGAGTGAGTTGCCACATCATTAGGAAAGAGTCTGGACTCAGTACTGCTAGGAAAATAAAAAAATGTAATCCAACCCTCTTATTTGTAGATGGGAAAATATATCCAGAGAGGCTATGTGTTTTACCCAAGGCCACACAGCCTGTGAGTAGGACCTGTCTTTCTGTTCATCCCAAGAGAAGTGACAGCTACTTTGATAGCTTCCAGGCTTTGGGAGTTTGAGTTAAATTATACTTCTAAGCAGATTTAGTGAACATATTTTCAACTGAACAAAAAGTGGGCATGCACAAATGTCTTTTTTTTTTTCTGCTTCAGGATGATGTAACCCTCTATTTCTCTCTTTGGACAATCACAGGGACCCCTATCAACCGAATCCCTATCATGGCCAAGCAGATCCTAGATCTGTATATGCTGTATAAGCTGGTGACAGAGAAGGGGGGCCTGGTGGAGATCATCAACAAGAAGATCTGGAGGGAGATCACCAAAGGCCTGAACCTGCCCACATCCATCACCAGTGCTGCCTTTACCCTGAGGACCCAGTGAGTGGCCAGGGCCTTAGGGAAAGGAAGCTGAGACTGGAGAAAGGGGATGTTTTAACTTAGAGGAGAGAAAGGAAGAAAATTCCATTGTACAGTGAGCAAGATGAGTGGGATTCCTGAGACAACCAGGAGCTTTCTGAGGTGAATCACCTCAGTAAACCAAAGTAATGATGAGAGCTGGCACTTCCCAAGCGGCCTGTGTGCTACTGCTTCACCGTTTTGTTGCCTTCAAACCTCACTATGAACCCTGTAAAGTAGATTCATTCCCATTTTCCAGATGACCAAAACTGTCTCAGAGGTTAAATTGTTTGGCAAAGGCCATACCAGCTAGTAAGTGGTGGAGCTGAGATTCCCACCTGGGCCTCTATCCCTGAAATCCACACTCTTTCCAGGACACTGTCTCCTACACTGCACCTCCACCCTAAGCCTGGCCCTTCCTATCTGACACTCAGCTTACCCAACAACATGGGACCCAGGAGAAGGCAGGCGGTCAAGCCCCACTGGGGTTGGTGAATGATTTTTGTCACCCTTTGAGTTCATTACAAGGTTGATAGAAGCAGTGAAACCAAGAGCAGCTGGAGAATAAAGACCAGAGGGGATTCTCTTCTTTTATAACACTCTGGAAGTTGTTCTTTGACTATGGAATAAGCAACTTACGTATCACTTAGGTAGCATGTCATGTCCTTGTTGAAAGGAGAAGGGGTTTATCGGAGCTGTTCCAGTAGAAGTGGGTCAGAGCTATAACCAGTGCAGCAAACCTTCCTTTAAGGTTCTTGGGTAAAGAATTGCTTCCTGGGACATCTGACACACAATGGGAAGAATTGCCCGTCTGACCAGCCTGATTTGAGATGGCTAGGAGATCAGGAGCTGGACAGTTATGTCACAGCACTGGCCTGATTTCTCCCAGGGCACTAAAAAGATGCTACGATGACCGTGAAGCATTAACAGAGTTGTCCCTTATTTCCCTTAGTGAATGACACCTCCACTTTGAGCATGCTCAGAACTGAGTAGCAGTTAGAGAAGCCTGGGCCAGGGTAGTCAGAAGTCCCAGACTTTTCTCTCTGTCGGGCGCTCCAGGTGGTGGTCCTCTGTCCTAGAAGCTAGCCTACAAAGGCTGCTTCCACAGACCCAGCAGCTTAGACAGGGTGGCTTCTGGTGCCATGTTTTGGATTACTCTTCCTTGCTTTCTTCCTTCCCTCCAGGTACATGAAGTACCTCTATGCTTACGAGTGTGAGAAGAAAGCCTTGAGCTCCCCAGCTGAGCTCCAGGCAGCCATTGATGGCAACCGGCGGGAGGGCCGGCGGCCCAGCTACAGCTCCTCCCTCTTCGGCTACTCACCCACTGCCACTGCTGCTGCCACCAGGGCCGCACCTGCCCTTCTCTCCACAACCAAGATCCGCTTCCCTGTCCTTGGGCTGGGCTCCAGCAGTGGTACCAGTGCCAGCAACTCTCTCATATCCCCAGCAGCTACTCTCAGGAAAGGTCTGCAGGGCCCTGAGGGAGTGGGGAGGAGGGAGGAATGGAGCCAAGTTTCTGTGTCCAGGGCCTGGGTGGAAGGGTAGGTTGTGGATTGGTCTAGCTCTGATGCCTTTACCAGGTGATGGAGTCCCAGTGACAACAGTACCTGTGCCAAATCGTCTGGCTGTGCCTATGACTTTGGCAGGCCAGCAGGCTGGCACCCGAATAGCCACACTGGAGCAGCTGCGGGAACGGCTAGAGTCAGGAGAGCCGCCTGAGAAGAAGGCATCCAAGCTATCAGAGGAGGAACAGCGCCTCGTGCAGCAGGCCTTCCAGCGCAACTTTTTCAGCATGACACGGCAGCTGCCCATGAAGATCCGGGTCAACGGCAGAGGTGAGTGTGCCAAGCCACACTCCATTCAGGGGCCCATTCATGTCCCCTGAGACTGGGGTGGAGCTCCCCCAGCTTCTGCCCTTCAGGCCCCCAGAAGGGTCTAGGAGCCACATGGGGCTTCTGTGGCCACTGAGATCTCAGTTCACCAAGCTGAGGTCATTTTCTAAAGAACCAGAAATTGCCTCTGGCAGAGCCCTATCCTCTAGCAGTAAGAAGAAGCAGAGTTCAACGAGGAGGAGCCAGAGGCCTTCAGGGACAGTAGCTGTATTTTTCTCCCCCACCAGCCTTTTGATCTGTCTAAATTAAAGGGCTCAGCCTGTACTCCAGCACCTTACCGGATGTGGGGATATAGACAAGCGCAGGGCAGATCTGGAAGAAAGTCAGCACCTCTATTCCTGAGGCTCAGTGAGGGGCCAAGTTGCCTCAGTCCAAGCTTCCAGTGTTCCTCAGAACAGTGGGAAGGAGGAACCACAAGTTTGGCAGCATAATTGACACCCTTTCCCTTCCTCTCTATTTTTCAGGTGCCCCACCTTCATGTCCCCTGAACCACATACTCCATGTCCCTTGTTCCTCTCCCCACCCTTCCCTCCTCACACACATTTTCTTTGCCATTATTGCCTTTGATGCTGTCTCAGAACAAACATGAAATAAGCATGTGTGGGGAAGAAAACAGGTGTGGAGAGAGGAGCTGTGCATATTCCCAGGCAGCCTGTCCCTCTCCAGCCTTCCCCTTTATGAGGAACAGAAGGAGGTTGGAGGTGATGGCCCAGACAGCAGGGTTCTGCTCTGTTACCCATTCAAGGCCAGGTGCCCCGGTCCTGCACAAGCCAGAGGCTAACAGAACAGGCACTCACCTGGAGGAATTCTTGGCCCTGTGCCTGATGAGCAGGCAGAGGTGAGCTGGGCAGAGGCCTTCCACAAGCCCCAGATGCCCAGGCTGAGATGTAGTACCAGGTGCTGGGTAGGCAGACCCTCTCCTTGAGGACCTCTCAGCCCGGTGATGGGGAGTAAGAGGCAACAAGAGGCAGAGACTGGGTCTTCCTGATCTCCAGTTTCCCAGCTGATGGGTAGTGGGTGCTAAGTGAAATTTGCCAAATTGCTTTGAAAGCACCAGCACACAGCTGTGAGCCAAGGGCAGCCTCCTTGCTGATGGTGATCCCTTTTTTCTTCAATCAGAGAGTTGGGGAGGTGAAGTGGCTCAGTGGAAAAAGCAAGCAATAGGACATTAGTACACCTGAGTCCTCGTGCCAGAACTTATGCTCAGGAGAAGGTTATGTAGATGCTTTCTAACAGTGGGCCTCAGCCTGCTATGGCCAGACCAGGAGCATGGGAGAGCCTCGGAAAGGACAACAGAAATGCTGGAAGGCTTGACCAGGCCTGCTGTCTCCCTTGTCCCCAGCAGAAGACAGATCAGAAGCCTCTGCTACAGCGCTGAATCTGACCACAGGCAGCATCGGGAGCATTAACATGTCTGTGGACATCGATGGCACCACCTATGCAGGTGAGGCCTTGAAGCTCGAGGGAGGCTCACAGTGTGGTGGCCAGCCTCAGTGCAGCTGCCTGACTGGCCCCACTTGTCACCCTCCTGTCTGCACACCTTCCTGGGGGTGGCTTCCTTTTAAGTAGTTTCAAGATTCTGTAGGAAAAAATGGTTCTTCTGGGCTAGTAGAGGCTGAGGATCACTAATATGATGACAGATTCCCTCCACCTTTTACAGAACAATAGAAACCCTGCACCTAACCTTTTTGGACCAATGGTTGGCTTGCTAATTGAGAAGTCATTTAATGTAAAGAATCATAATTCTATATCCATGCCTTAAACGTTATATGCTAAGGTTTTGTATTGTGAGTCCACCATATGGTCTTCTAATGCATGGCCTCCTTCCTTTGTACTTCAACTGTTCTCTTTCTAAACTTCTGTCATTTCTTTAAAATGGGTCATAGACAGACACAGGCAAAGGGATCTGAATGCAGCAGAATTGGCCTATATATGTTGGTGATTTTTCCCGTCATTTTCAGTTGTCTCTCCCTTAGTCTAATTTGGCGGTTGGTTGGTTGGTTGGTTGGCTGGTTGGCTGGTTGGTTGGTTGGTTTAGCCCCTTTACCAAGCTTTCGCAAGGCGGTCAACTTAGTTTTCATAGTAGCAATCCTCTTCCCACTCCCATTTCATTCGTTTACAGATGAGTTTGGGAACAAACTCCACCAACTCTTGTTAAGCACAGCTTGATGAGTTGGGGCTAAAGAGGCTGGGCATTCTAGCCAGTGGCCTTCTGCCAGGAGCCCGGGCATCAGCCACCTGTTTTACAGAATGCATGGGAGGTGCCTTTTCCATCAAAATGGGGTATTTACTCTGAGCATGTTTCTGGCCCTTTGAATGCTCCTGTGTTAGGGGCAAGGCCCCCTCGGGGCACCACCCTATAGGCCTCATGCTCTGGATCTCTGCTGGACTACCTGCTGTGGGCATCAGGTCAGGGCCAGGGGAGCTGCAGAGTTCCTGGGAGCAGCCTGCAGAGAAACTGGTATTTAGAATACAAGGACTGTGGACTTAGAATACAATGCCAGGCTGCCTCACTAGCTACCACATGGTCAGTGCTTCAGAGGCCACATTCAGAGTTCTCTGCCTGATACAGGAGGCCCTCAAGGAGACCGGATGAGCAGGGCCTGGGTGCTCTTTGCCTTTTGATCGTGCTGTGGTGGTCCAGAAGGTTTGGGAGTTGGCAGTGGATTCATGGAGAAAACAGGGAAGGAAGATGTGAGGGCCTCATCTCCACATCCTTTTGTCCTCTATCAGGAGAAAGAAGATGATGCTCTCTTCTCTCTCAGAATGGGGAGCACTCAGAAGAGTGTTGAAAGCTCCTCAAACCTCACCTGCCTCAATCCCTGTTACACCAGTGTGCTTTCCCAGTGGGTTCGCAGTCACCCAGGCCAGAAACCTGAAAGTTGTTCTTGAGAGCCCCTCATGCCCATTCTGGCCCCCAAGAGCTCAGCAGACCTCGCTGCTGTGTGCTGTCTCTCCTTCCCTCTTCTCCCCTCCTCTCTCCTTCTCTACCCTCCCCTCTTCCCTTTCTTTCTAATCTTTTTTTAATGTTTTTATTGATTTTAGAAGGGAGGGGAGAGGGATAGAGAAATAGAAACATGGATGATCCCCTCCGCATGGCTCATTGGTTGAACATCAGCCGATGAACCAGGAGGTCAGGGTTCGATTTCTGGTCAGGGCACATGCCCAGGTTGCAGGCTGGAACCCCCAGTAGAGGGCATGCAGGAGGCAGCTGGTCAGTGACTCTCTTTCATCATTTACATTTGTATCTCTCCCTCTCCCTTCCTCTGAAATCGATGAAAACATATTTTTAAAAAGAAAGAAACATCGATGGGAGAGAAAGATCAGTACGCTGCCCCCTGCACGCCCCCTACTGGGGATCGAGCCTGTAACCTGGGCTTGTGCCCTGACCAGGAATCCAACCATGACCTCCTGGTTTACATGTTGACACTTAACCACGGAGCCACACCAGCAGGACAGTTTGGCCACTTTTTCTAAGAATCCAGTTACAGCCTTCCCCTGGAGACTTTCCTGACCAAATCTTCCCTGCTCTCCAAAACCTTTTTGTTCCCACAACACCTTGGGGACACTTCCCTTAGAGCATTTGTGATATTTTAGCAAAATTACTCTGCTATGTGTCTCCCTCACCAGCCTGTAAGCATCTGAAGCAGGACAGTGTTCGGGACTTCTGTCAGCACCTGTGGACAGCAACTTTTGTCCAGAGTGGAGCCTTGCAGTCAGGCAGCAGTAAATCAGTGGAAATCAATAGAACCACCTCTTCTCTCTTTTTCTGCTCACACTTGCTTCTCTTCCCCACCCCAGGTGTGCTATTTGCCCAGAAGCCTGTGGTTCACCTCATCGCAGGGTCTGCTCCCCAGAGCATCAACAACAGCACCAGCAGCAGTTCTCACTGCTCGCCAAGTCCTACCTCATCCCGGGGCACCCCCAGTGCAGAGCCCTCCACCAGCTGGTCCCTCTGAGGGGCAGGACCCAGCTTCCACTACTCACTCTCCTGTTGAGAGTGAAGGAAGTTGATGCACAGAATTTACCTCATCTCACGGATCCCACGTCAAATACCGTTTGACCAGATGTTGAGAGTTTGGACAGGTCTACCTGTCCAGGCTCCATTCAGGTCCTGCTGTACTCTGGGGACAGGGAGAGGCTGGAGGGGCAGGACACGGCAGCGTTGTCCAATCAGGGATTGTCCTGGAGAAATGGGTGGGGCCAGCTTCCGGGGGATTCCCAGGCCACCTCCCATCCTGGGCACAGTGTATTGACAATCTGTAAGCCAACATAGGCTGAAGGCCCTTCATATCCCTTCCCCTTTAATTTATTTTCCTTCCCCTGCCTTCTGCCATAACCCCAGGGTCACTGGTCCCTCCCCCTGCTCAGTGCCCTGATCTTTAACTCTCACATGGATCTGCTAGGAGCCAAGAGCGTGCCTTCGTAGCCCTACTCTGCTGAGCACGAGATGGGGCCTTCGTTGCCTACCATGTTGGTTCCTGGGATGTAGGTCCCTCAGATTCAAGTCTTGAAGCAGTCCTCAGGGCCCTTTATTCTCCCTGTAATGGACCCAAGAAAGGGCACATGGGGGCAATCCTCGGGTCCCAGGGCCCAATGGACATCTGAGGGAGAGGCAGAGCCTCAAGGGGCTGCCTAGGCAGGCCCTAGCACCCACTTCAAACTGACCCTTTTCTGACCCTCAGGCCTCATGCTACCCACTCACCCTTGTTGGCCAGCTGTCCCAGGAACAGCCCACTTGCCCTTTGGCCACCTTTCTTTTCATGGGGCCATCTCCACCCCAACATCCCCAAGCCTGCTGATGTCAGATTCATTGAAATACCTCAGATTTGTAACTATTGATGTTTGACTCTTCAGGAAGTATTTGCATCTCTGAAATCTTTTTTATATGTGTTTCGCTGACTTGATTTTTTATTTTAAAATTTTTATTGTTATTATAGCACCAAAGAATGAGAGCAGATCACCCCAAAGCCAAACAAATGATTTGGTACCCCAGCCCCTCTGGCCCTTCCATGAAACCCCACTGAGGAGGCAGGGAGACAGACAGTAGAGATGACTCAGGGATCAGAGCGGCGGGGAGGAGGTGGGGTGGAAGCCTACCTTCACACAGGTTGGGTCCTGAAACCACACCAGTTCTGAAGATGGCCCTAGACCCATTTTCTGCTAGAGCAGGATTAGTCCCAACCTCTACCCCCCACTCTCCAGAGGGGGCAGGATGTCTCCCTTTCGCTCCACACTCCCACCTCAGGACAGACAGGCCATGGGCCTTAGAGAATGAGATGCTGAATTGTGTCTCCTCTTGGACCTGGGTTGGAGCAGGCTGCTCTTGGATTGTAAGAAGAGCTGATTCTCACACAAGGCTTACCTCGAAATCAGTAAGCCCTGCAGTGTTCAGTAGACACCACCCACTGTGACATTTCTGGGTTGTGGTGGGAGCCCATGCTGGCTCAAGCCCACACCTGACTAACATTAGTCCTGTCTAGGAAAGGGAATTCCGGAACTTGAACACAAAACATGCCTCAGCCTGGTAAGCTGCAGCTCTGCTGAACCGCATCTTCTCTCCCCCCCCCAGCCCTCCACACACACAGCCCCTCCACCAGGGCTCACCCTCTTCTGGCCTCAAAAGCCTTCCTCCCTTACCCACCAGGCAAGTGTAGGGTGTGGGCAGAGAAGGGCATCTGGGATCTGGTGCCAGGGAAGAGCCCAGTTAGCTGGCACTGGGCCCACCTGAAGGTCTCACAGACATTCGCCAGTGTGTTTTTCTCAGGGGTTTGGTCACGAAGAATGGACTCTTCCTACCCAGAGGATACAGGAACAGCACACTGTCTTTCTAGTCATTGGATTTGCTCCCTTATGCAGCTGGCCCAGCCTCCCTGTCTCAGCAAACCGTTGCTGACCTCAGGACAATATCAGGGTCTCAGCCTGAAAGCCTGAGAGAGGGGATGCCAGCAGGTGTCCCTAGGAACAGGGCCTGGGCCAAGAGGAACCCTCAAAGTACAGTCCTGAAGGCCCCACAGGCAGGCAGCCTGGGCAGCTCTGTCCCCTCCTCCTCCCCATTTATGTGTGTTCTAACCAGGATAAAAGTGATAACACATGGGTAGCCCAAGCAGTGGATAAATACCTCAGACGTCCTCTTGCAGCAGGTGTCTGTATATGTTGTGGTTATTTTCTATCTTACATGTTCTCAAATGTTTATATTAAAATAAACCTCTACCTCTTCACACAAGCGGGTGGGTGTTTTCAGTGACTACCATTGGAGAGTACTAGGGGAGAGGCTAAAGCCTTCAGAATAAAAAGGGACTGAGTTTACTGCTCTTCTGATCCACCAATTCTTCCTGAACATTTTCCCCTTCCTTCACTGCTCACCGGTCTTTTCACTCAGCCTGTCTTCTGTCTCAGCGGGGTATCTCTGGTGTTGCCTGATCACCAAAACTGCCTCCTGTGGTGGTGCATCAGTGTCCTGGCAGGCACAGGCCTGGGGGAGTAGCCTCCACTTAGCAAGCCCCCCCTTTGTTTGTTTGTTTGTTTGTTTGTTTGTTTTAGAGAGAGGAGAGAAGCATCGATTTGTTGTTCCACTTATTTTTGCGTTCATTGGTTATTTCTTGTATGTGCCCTGACCACAGATTGAACCTGCAACCTTGGCATATGGGGCTGATGCTCTAACCGCCTGAGCTACCTGGCAGGAACTAGCAAGCCCTTTTTGAGCTCCTGCTGATAAGTGGTCCCCATACCTATGGAGCTCACAATCTTATGTGGGAGGCACACATGACTAGACAAAAACCAATACTTTAGAATACAGCATGACTGAAATAGTAGACTATTGAAGGGCCAATATATGCTGGGGCAGCTCACTAGGGAATCTATGGAAGCCTTTCCAGAGGCGGTGACATTTAAGCTGAAAAGGTGAGATTTGCCAGCTGAAGATATGAGGAAGCCTCAGCAGAGGAACTGATACCTATATATGGAAACTTGGTAGTCAGGACCTGGCCAGTCCTAGGATTGGTGGGTGGTGCAGAGGGGAAGTGGGAAGAGGTGCAGCTGGGGCCAGGGAGGATCCCAAGCTAAGGGATTTGGGCTCCATTCTCAGCATCAGGGCACTGCCAATGTGGTGGGGGGGGTTTTCAAAACCCACTTTTCTAGAAGGTTGATCTAGAGCCGGGAGACATTCTGGGTGTGAACACCTGGAATACCCCCTGGGACTCAGGCATAGACAGAGTGCTCAGTATTTTTCTCTGCCATGATGCACATTTTATGGGCGCAACCTGGTTTTGGCAAAACCAAAAGAAATGTGCAGAGGTAATTATTGGGTGGGTTTATAATTGACCTCCTCCATCCCACACCATGCACCTCACCTGTCTCAACCCTCTGGTTGCAAAGCGGGCATCCCTTCTCTGCCATTTTGAAGTGCTAGAAAATGAGAGTGACTATGGGACAGTCTTAAATCTCTCACGGATTTTTAAAAATCTTTTGAAAGAAATTGCTAACCCTTCAGTACTTTAATTATTGATGACCAGTAGTTGGCATCACACCTCACAACTTCCTGTGACACACTGGGGGTCTGTCCCGTAGAGATTCAGTGGACCTAGTCTAGGAGAGCACTGAGAGATTAGCACAAGGGGGTCTGAAGACATTTGAGATGGAAACAGCAGAGTGACGAAGCACTGCTGAGAGAAGTGGCAGGTAAGAATCTAGGGAGAAGGCCCAGGCCACAGCAATTCTATCCCATTCAATTCTTGAAAACACGAGACTATCTCAGAGCCTGAGAAACAGAAAAATTTCTCAAAGTAGACCCTTCAAAGAAGTTCATCTAAAGATACCATAAAGTAAAAAGACAAACTGGGAGCCCGGCTGGCGTGGCACAGTGGTTGAGCGTCGAACCATGGACCTGGAGGTCATGATTCCAAGTCAGGGCACATGCCCAGGTTGCGGGCTCGATCCCCAATAGGGGGCATGCAGCGGATTGATGATTCTCATCGATGTTTCTCTCTCTCCCTCTCCCTCTTTCTGAAATCAGTAAAAACATGTTAAAAAATAAAAACCTAGGGAGAGAGATTTGCAACACACAACTAACAGGCATAGTAGCCAGAATGTATTCTTTTTAATGCTTATTAAGATAAAAGCAAAAAGAAGGGAAGGTGGGGCAAAGTTATGAACAGGTGTGCAGAAGAGGAAATACAAATGGCTAAACCTCACTAGTGATCAGGGAAATGCACAGAAAACCATTGCACACCATTGGATCACCACAAACTTTAGTGTTGAGGTTCTAGGTCTTGAGGATGAGGAGCAGTGGGAACTCACACTGCTTGGAGAGTAAATTGGTCAAACCGGTTTGGAAAACACTTCCACATCGCCTATTCAAGTAGAACGTACACCTCCTCTAGGGCCCAGCAGTTCTGCTCATTCTGAACGCGTGCCCAAGGAGACCCACAGCACTGATGGCAATAACTTGGCTGTGAAACTACCAATTACCAAACACTGGTGTGTGCCACGCTGGTGGAGACCAAGGACCTGTGGTCCCAGCCACAGGGAAGGATCTACAGATGGATGAGGTTACAGACCTGGGCCTGGCCTCAGGGCAACCTTAGGCTGGGGGTACTCATACAGGAAGCACTAAGGAGTATGACCCAGCAGTATTTTTGGATTCAGGAAATTTTTGGTCACCTGTACAGTCTGGAGGGGAAGAGTGAGGCATCTTGCTCCCTTCCCCAGTGCTATTCCATCAGCATCTCCCAGCCATTATGTCCATTGTTTGGGTCAAGGCATAGTCCCAGGCAGAACCCTGTGAGAATGGAGCTCTGAGACCAGGGTAGGGTGATGTCCTGAGGGAAAAACCAGACCAAGATAGGAGCCAACCACCCCTCCCGTTTCCCAGACTTCCCTGCAGGAGGTGGGCTCTGAGCTGGCCCAGATGCAGGCTGAGCTCCAGAAAGTCTGAGAGGTGGTGAGAGCTTGGGACTCAGAGCTTTTCATTGATAGGTGAGCCTGCCTTGCCAAGGAGTGAGGGCCTCCCAGGACCACCTAGAGATGATGCAAGGACCAGGCAGCCTGGGGTGGGTCTAAGCTCTGCTCTTGGCCCTTGGTAGAGACAATCTGATCCCGACTCAACTGATTCCATCAAGCCAGGCAACCTCCACCCACCTCCCAAGTTCGGCCCTACCTTTACCTCTCCAAGTGGCCTCTGTCTCAGCCCCTTTGGTTCCGAGTCACAAGGGCCCAGTGTGGTCTTAGGGGGCCTGGTCAACACAGCAAAGGAAGACCTCTCTTCCAATCCCACTCCCAGCTTAACCTGGGTCAGGGTACAGCCAGGACCGCCCAGGCCAGTTCTCACTTCCTGCAGGGGCTGCTGCAGCTCAACCCCTTCCTGTCCTTGAGTTCTCCCCTCTGCCCCTAGTGGGGCCCACCCAGGGCAGTCCTCTGGTTCCTCTTCGGGCCTTGAGTTTGCCCAATCCTGGGACTTGGTGGGGACAGCAGGACCCTGTCCCCTTGCCCCCACCCCATTCTGAGCATCATTAGCCAACCAAAGCCAGGGGGCTACTCAGCTGGGACCAAGGTCTAGTTCTAAAGGGCAACAGAGAGTGTGACCCTTGGACATTGACCTGCTGAGTAAACTGACTAGCATCATAGGATCACTAAGGGTCAGAGCTCCTGAGTCCTGCCAACACCACTCCCAGTGTACAGACAGGACCAGAGCCCAGAGACAGCAAGAGGTTTCACCAGGGCCACAGGCCGCAACCCATCTCCATCATCATGGAAACCCTGCTTCCTGAGGCCCAAGAGAGGATTCCAGCGGCCTCCCCCACAGAATCTTGGGTTTAAGCAGGGCATGGCCTGCTTCCCTCACTTGATGTGGAGGAGTTGCCTCAGTGTCAATGAGCAGCACTCACCGTGCCCCTCCAACCGACACTCCAGCCTCTGCAGCTGTGTCAGGGTCCTGGGATTAAGTGAAGGGAAAATGAGGTCCCAGTCACACCCAACCCACCCAGCAGGAAGGTAGCAGGAAGGAAGCAAACTGGGACTGTTATGGGCTAAACTGTGTCCCCCGCAAAAATGTGATTGCGTTCTAACCCCCAGTACCTTAGAATGTGACCTTATTTGGAGATGGGGTCTTTACAGAGGTGATCAAGTTAAAATGAGGTAATTTGAGTGGCCCCTAATCCAATATAACTGGTGTCCTTATAAAAAGAGGAAATTTGACCAAAATAACATAAAAAACATGCACACATGGGGAGCTTTTTTTTTTTTTTTTTCCAGAAAGAGGAATGGAGAGGGAGAGAGAGAAACATCAACATGAGGGCCAAATACCAGTTGGCTGCCTCCTGCAAGGCCCCCTACATGGGGATCGAGCCTGCAACCCGGGATTTAAGCCCAGGATTCAGGCACCTGTGCCCTGACCGGGAATCAAACCAGTAACCTTTTGATGCACAGGACAATGCCCAACCAACTTAGCTACACCAGCCAGGCAAAGGAGGAGCACCTTGTGAACATGAAGGCAGAGACTATAATGATGCATCTACAAGCCAAAGAATGTCAAAGACTGCCAGTGACCACCAGAAGCTGGGGAGAGGCAGGAACACGTTGTCCCTCACAGCCCTCAGAAGTAACCAACATTACCAACATCTTGATCTCAGACTTCCAGCCTCCAGACTGTTTCTGTTATTTAAGCCACACACTTGTGATACTTGGTTATATTAGCCCTAGCAAACTAATACAGAGGGCAAATAGGTGAATGGAATCAAACCCCATTGGCAACTCTCTGACTCCAAAGGGACCCTGGTTTAGAAGGGGACTTTCACCTCAAAGCAGTCATGCCTGCAGCAGCGTGAGGTGTATAACAGTAGGCAACATTTCATGACTGCATGCCGTGTGCCCAACACAGCACTGAGCCTGTTACAGACCTGTTGAATTTCACCCTCACAGCCAGCTGGTGGGGAGGAAAACTGTTCTTGTTCTTGTTTTTGTTTTTTTTTTCACAGATGAGGCCCAGAGAGGTTGAGTGACTTGCCCAAGGTCACACAGCTAGTATGTGGAGCCAGGATTTTTTTAAAAAAAGTTATCTTTATTGTTGAAAGAATCACAGATGTCCCCTTTTTGTCCCCATTGACCCCTTCTACCACCCCACACCTCCTGGCCTTCACCACACTATTGTCTGTGTCCATGGGTTATGCATATATGCATACAAATTCTTTGGTTAATCTCATCCCAACCACCCACCCAACCCTACCA